AGTCTCCTGCAGGAGTTCCGCTGGGAGGTGTTTAATCATTCACCCTACAGCCCGGATCTCGCTCCCAGTGATTTCCATCTTTTCCTACACCTCAAGAAATTCCTGTCCGGTCAGTGTCAGCGTTTTGAGAATGACAGAGAGGCGGAGATGGTTGTCACACAGTGGGTCCCATCCCAGGCGGCAGACTTCTACGACACAGGTATTCAAAAGTTGGTCCCACGGTATGACAAATGTCTCAATTCCGGTGGCGAATATGTTGAAAAATAGCTGGACACTTGCTGTATCTGTTGCAATAAATATTTCCATGAAATTGTGTTTTGTTTCTGTAAACGGCCCCAGGGAAACTTACTTTGTGGACGAGCCTCGTATCATAGGTTTGACAGTAAGTGAACACGAAGGTTTTGACACTTACCAATATTTCCAGGCCTTTTCTGAGTACTGACTGAACCATCCAGTCCAACAAATTCAGAAAAGATCTGGGGAAATGGTGAGGAGACATTACAAGGTGAGTCAGCAGAAGTAACATGAGATGCTGTAGCATACGAGCAACATGTTAAGAACAGACTGAGCATTTCCTGCACGCTGGTGCATGTGTACGCTGGGTTCCTGTCCTGCTGCATCTGCACACTGGGTAAATAAATACATAAACAAGAGTTAAACTTTATTAAATACATTTTGCTCTTGATATTCATTTACTGCATATACATATCTACTGCTGACAAATATAATTCACTAGTACAGACACTTCAATGCACAGAAACATGCATTACTCTTCCTCATACATCGTTAAATGCACACCATACAAAAAATTGTTTCAAATAAATGTAGGTTTCAATCAGACCTACATTTATACCGTAAACTTAATTTTCGTAAGACAAACCTTGTACTGTTAAATTTTATGTAGTCAGAAACTGAGCTTCACACACAGTAGGGGTTTACAACAGATTGATATGAACCAAATTAAATTATTCTGACAGCTTTCAGTGTAGATACACAAATACCAAATTTAAAAAAATCCACTTAACTTTTGAAGATGGTTTGACCAACAGCAGATACTACCTTCACAATAATGTGCTCATTTCTTGCACTTCAAGCAAAAAAAAATGCATGTGAAGATCAATATTAAAACTGTTAGGTTCTACCTTTGTGACATCAAGACATTCCTATATTCAGCTACCAATTCTAAATTCAGGAAAACTTTATGTAAACATACATATTTGCCTCATATGTTCTGTTTCATTCTGTAAATGTGGGCAGACAAGCAGTTGAATTACATACATTTATTGATTGTGTTGCTTGCAAAATCAACCTTGCCACCACTAAAGCTGTGATTACCCAGGATAGAAAGAAAAACACCATTTCTGTTACAAGTACTCATCGGTCCAATTACGGGCTAGACTTCAGTGTAATGATAAATGGATGTCAAGAGACACATACATATGGTTTGTCACACAGTCATCAGTTTTCATTCTAGAGGGATTTTCTTTCCAAGCAAATATTCTGAATAAACGCTGAAGTAGATGTATAATGTTGTAATGGTATTTCACTTCAGTAGTCATGAACCATGTATTGTGGGTCCCCTCATCACCATGGCATACATGTCCTCAGGTTAAAGATGGAGGAGATGGTCTCTTGATATGGAGGTTAGCTATGAATGTATTAACTAAGCAGATGTGGACAGCCAACAAGCAGTAGTCCTCCAGCTTGGGTGTTGGGCATAGGGCTAACAACTCCCCACCATAAAAACAATAACTTGTTATGAAATGTTACACAGGGCCTTGGACTGAAACAGATTCTTTGGAATGACTTAAGTAAAGGAAAATGAACATGAGATTTGGCACACAGAATATAAGGAGTCTGTAGAGGCCGGTTCACTGGGAACAGTTGCAAGAGAATTAGCATGGTATAAGTTAGATTCAGTTGGAGTACAGGACATCAGACGCGACATGGGTGTACTTGATAGCTAAAGGATCCTTAAAAAATGTGGCAAAGTTCAGATATTTGGGAGCGACAGCAACAAATCAAAATCTGATTCATGAGGAAATTAAGAGCAGATTAATTCTGAGTAATGACTGCTACCACTGTGTTAAGTACCTTTTGCCTTTTCTTCTGCAATCTAAAAATGTAAAGATTACAATATACAAAACTATAATTCTTCTTGTAGTTTTGTATGGGTATTAAACTAGGTCTCTGACAACAAGGGAGCAACACAGACTGAGGGTGTTTGAGAACAGGGTGCTAAGGAGAATATCTAGACCCAAGGGACGAAATACTACCAGGCTGGACAAAGCTGCAAACGAGGAACTTCATAAGTTGTACTCCTCACCAAATATATTTAGACTGAGCAAGTCCAGGAGGATAAGTGGGTGGGGCATGTAGTCCTCATGGGAGAAAAGAGGACTGCAAACAGGGTTTTGGGTGGCAAACCAGAGGGAAAGAAACCACTCAGAAGACCTAGATGTAGGTGGGAGGGTAATATTAAAATGGATATTGGAGCAATAGGGTGGGGTGGTATGGACTAGAGTCATCTGGAACAGGATATGGATCAGGAGTGGGCTCTTGTGAATATGGTAATGAACCCTTGGGTTCCATAAAATGTTGGGAATTTCATGAGTGGCTGATGGACTGTTGGTTTCTGCGGAAGGACTAGGCTTCATGGAGTCAGTAAGCAAGTCATGATCATGAATGAACTTCCATAATGTCTTCAGTTCTTCTTGAAAGATCCAGCTTGTGGGGCATTATATCCCTCCAATTTAGATTTATGTTCAAATGTGAACTAAAAGAATTTAATTTATAACTTAAATGCATCATGTTTGTGTTTGATTAAATATATTTATTTTTACAGTCCATACACAAACGTTGAAGTTTATTGATGTTGTTAAGATTATATAATATTAAAACATTTTGTTGTATAAAATATTATATTTGGCGCTCTTAATCGTACATACGATTTTACATTATATTATTAGCGCTTTCCATCTATTAAAACTACATGTTTCGACGGGTAATACCGTCGTCTTCAGGTTTTTATCAATTTTACAATATTTTAAAATTATTAGATATTTAATGCAATGTATTATAATGATCTGTGGTTTGTTTGTAGTTTTCTATTTTCATGGTGAGTTGTTTGTTTGTAGTCAGACGTTTTATTTATCTGTGGAATTAATGTTTAATTATTATCTTGAAATGAGTATGGATTGACATAGGAAATAAATAAATAAAGAATATAATTGTAAAATATACGAAAACATTTTATTTATTTCCTATGTCAATCCATACTCATTTCAAGATAATAATTAAACATTAATTCCACAGATAAATAAAACGTCTGACTACAAACAAACAACTCACCATGAAAATAGAAAACTACAAACAAACCACAGATCATTATAATACATTGCATTAAATATCTAATAATTTTAAAATATTGTAAAATTGATAAAAACCTGAAGACGACGGTATTACCCGTCGAAACATGTAGTTTTAATAGATGGAAAGCGCTAATAATATAATGTAAAATCGTATGTACGATTAAGAGCGCCAAATATAATATTTTATACAACAAAATGTTTTAATATTATATAATCTTAACAACATCAATAAACTTCAACGTTTGTGTATGGACTGTAAAAATAAATATATTTATATATATATATATTAAAAGAATTTAGCTTCAACAGGTCACCAACAAACTCCCTCATGAATGTTCATTTCCATGTTTTTATTTCATTAAACACTTACAGCAACTTACCTCTTGAGCCTCAGTTTCGGCACACCACGCAATACAACTGACTGGATCCAGATACGATCATTCTCTAAGTTGCAGTTCGGAGAGAGGGTTTGCCAAAGGGGGCCTTCCCACTGCTCCAGTGTGTCCAGAAGGTATGCATCATATTCCATGGCAAATGGTAGCCCTAGGCTTGCAACAGCAACTCTACGACCCAGCCTGCTTAAAGAGTCAGTCATCTCTGACAGAGAAGTACGCATTCCAGTCTTCAGGCGATAACGAAGAGTCGCCGTATCCAGAGCAGCTGCAAGTACAGCACTGCTGTGATAGGCTAGGGAACTCTGGAACAACCAACAGCAATGCAACTCATTACCCACAACCTTCAACAAATTGACCCTATGAAGATGGTTGTCTTCTGGGTTGTAGCACCATATAGTTTAGGTAACGAGAAATATTTCAAAGGAGTTTACTGCCACCTTCATAAGAACTGTCACGAGTTATAACAAAAATGAAGAACAGGGCACAGGGCAAAGAATTAATAACGGCGGAACCAATCAAGCATGGAGGCAGTATGCTGCGGAGAAAGATCTGTCTGATTGAAGAAGTCTGGGAGATAGAACAGATGCTACAGGAGTGGATTACAGTCTTAACATGCCAAATACATAAAAAGGGTAATAAACTATAATGCAGCAATTATTGAGGAATCTTGCTTCTAAATGTTACATATAAGATATTTACAAATGTATGGTGCCATATGTGGTAGAAATACGTACGGAATACCAATGTGGTGTCTGATCTACTACAAGCAAATCTTTAGCTTAACAATAATATTACAGAAGGCCTACGAGTACAATGTGGATATCCACCAGGTCTACGTAGACTATAAACAGGCATATGATAGCATTACCAGAGCAGAAATAATGAAAGAATTTGGGATGCCAAATAAATTGGTAAGGTTGGTCAAGATGACTGTAGAGAAAACTAATAACAAGGTGAAAATCCAAGGAAAGATGTCCACAAATGTCCAAACTGTAGCAGGCAGGGAGATTCACTATCTATACTCTCGTTTAATCTGTCCATGGAAAAGGTTATCAGAAATGTGAATATAAACCCAGAAGGCACAATCTTCAATAAAACAAGGCAACGGGACAAGCGGTGAGATACGTTACAGAGACAGTAAGAGATATGGTGACTGTGGCAAATCAACTGACTCACAATAAACACAAGCAAAACAAAATATATTTTATATAGAAATAATAATGACAACATACCAATGGATATTGAAATAAGTGGGCAGAAATATGAAAAGGCTGAAATTTCTATGTATCTAGGATCCCTGGTAACTAACATCAATGATATTAAAACAGAAATAAAGGCTAGACTAGCTGCAGGTAATAAATGCTACCATGCACTAGGCCATATACTAAAGAAAAGGTATATCCCAATAAAGGACTGTACAAAACAGTAATAGGAGATATCGTAACATATGGTGGGGAAACGATAACAAAGAAAATGGGAGGACTATTAATAACATGGGAAAGGAAAGTACTGAGGAAAATATATAGAGAACGGATGTTGGAGAATACAAATGAACCATGAAATCAGAGAGAAGTTAAAATCCCCGAACATTAGCTCTATAATTAAATCATGATGATTGGAATGGCTTGGGCATGTTATGAGAATGAATGACAAAAAAGTAGCAAGAAAGATGCTGGATGACAAACCAGGAGGGAAAAGGAGGAGAGGGAGACCTAGACTCAGATGGTTAGATGCTGTGGAGGCAGGCCTGAGGAATATGGGGGTAAGGACATGGAGAATGAAACCATTAAATAGATAAGAATGGACATCGATCACAAGGGAAGCCAAGGCCAAATTTAAAGGTGTTTAGTGCTACAGGAAGAAGAAGAAAGTAATATGTACTAGAGCTGTAATGTTTGTGGTGTACAGATAAAGCCAATAATAAAAAGCTCGTAAAATTCTTATATGTAGTAGCCAAAAACCTCCCGAGACTTGACCTGACACAGTTACTCCCAGAGTATTCTCTTTGAACTGTACATCAAATAATTCCCACATTGGATGTGTAGGTTGTATCTGATAATTTTTTGATTGTACTATATAGATCCAAAACTGCATTACACAGATAATGATTGATGAATCAAGTAATGTGTTATAATGTATTTTAATGAAGTGGATTATGTTTATTGAAAATGAAAAAATATTAAAGAAAATACCATCTCCCTAGAGTGAAGCAAAGTCAGGAAGTATTACTTACATTATACCGTAGATGTGGGAAATCCCTGGGGACACCTGGCTGCCTCCAACCTGATGAACCCATGCAAAGTGGCACAAAGAGAGAGCTATGCTCTGCCAGGCTGTGGAAACCAAGCGCTAAATTTAACAGTCGCACGCTGTCCTGGAATGTTGTTGTGTTGCTAAATTCAGATGGTATAGTTGGGAACACTAATTTACTTTTTGTTGAATATTCATCTTCTAAATATTCCAGAGCACTTGTACCAAGACCAGCAAACCCATCAGAACCATCTAGAAGAATATGAAAACCCTGAAAATTGAAACAAGACTTTACCACATATAGATAATATTCCGAGATAATGGTGGATGTGAATGAACCTGCTATTTATAAGGACCAGGCCCAAAACACATTAGACAAGCTCTAAGAATAGAAACATTGAAGAAAAGAAAACTACAGCAGTATGGACATATATTATGCATTGATGACAATATGTTTCCTTTGAGTGTGTCAAAATAAAGATGGTGGATAAATGAATATTACATAAATAAGCATCTAGATAGAGTGCCAAATGAGGGATAATATGTAAAACAGAGTAACAAACAGCAAAGCACAGATACAAGAGTACTGCTAAAGGGAAGGCAGATAAGAATAAAGAACTGGCAGAAACATCAGTTTATTTAAAGTCTCAAATTTCTCTGCTGAAGTGATGGGGCCTACCATTATCCAATTTAGATGCAACTGATATGTAAATTAGAGAGTATACAACTATGCAATGTATTTAATTTTAAAAAAGTCTACTTCTCATCTTAAACACATTGGCACCTGTAAATACAGCACCCAACACTGGGTTTATCAATAACACAGCCAATTAAATTAATTTCTACATTTTACTTTATTTACATGGTGAAACATTTATAAAGATCCTCAGTTGAAAGTAAATTATTAAGGAAACAAAGGGCCCTGCTTTTGTTGCCAGAATAAAAAAAAAATTCTTTATTGATCCATTTAAACAGTTTGTACAATTGCTCACAAGTGTTTGAACCAAAGTGATCACTCCCTCTTTTTTTTATCAGTATTTCTTTTATTTTTCATATTTTGTACAAATGTGTCATAAAATGTGAGCAACTGACAGAATTCAATCTGCTGGCCACAATGGAATTAGTGTTACAGGGTTGATGGTCAATGGCGGGCTTCAGATTCTGTTACTTAGTGACCATGAAAGAATAAGATATTTTCCTTAAAACTACTACACAGACTAACAACTTTCCCCAGCAAATTCTGTAGTCTGTTCCCCCAAGTATGCTACATGTCTAACCAACTTGAACTCCAAACATTGTTCTAATTTGGTAACATTATCATGAAGTTTACTATACAATATTATTCACAACCTAAGATTTTTTTGAGCACTTCATTCTGAAACACTCATAATATGGTGCTGATGCTGGTATATAACAAATAGCCATCTGGTTATCTGTCTTTTGATGGTGAAGCTGCTATCTTACTGCCCAGAACAGTTTCTGTGGCCCTTCAATCTGCATGACCCATCACTAACACAGCTCCCAACTTCTCTGAGGCACACAAATCTAATCCACTGTGTGGTGTGGTGACAGTACAAAATAAAAACAATGACACATTCAAAAAATATATGGCTGATAGCACAGATGACGATCTTACTACATAGTAAGTGAAGAGAACTGAAAAGATCACACACACAGACAGCAAGGAATTATAAATGAGTGTGAAGGAGACATAAGAGACAGTGTAAAGATGATTATGAGGCTGATATAGGCATTAAATTAGCTAATCCACAATGAGAAGATGTATAGGAAGAAGAAAGTTGCTTAAATAAATTAAAATACAAGTGGCAGACAAGTGAAAAGATTACTCGCTACTACTTGCAATAACATTAGAAATGAATATGGACTTGTATATTTTAAGATACATCACAAAAACCTTGTTTCCATTTAATCTCAATAATTGAACGTCTGAATGTGTGACACTATCACCACAAAAAACACCGTGTCCCTCACCTGCATATTATCACACTCCTCCGCATACATTCTAATGCGGTCAGTGAAGTCATCTTGAAACTGTTCTGTCTTCCAAAGGTTTGCACCTTGGTTAAACACATCAAAAGGCTTCGTGTCACTGTTGTGTTCATATTCGTTTATTATTGACACTGTTCGTGGATGATACCTAGTTCGAAGGTAATCAGCCCAAACATTAGTCACACTGTCCAAATTGTAAACTTTGGGAAGACTGCCTGTAAAATAATTTTACTTGATGCAATGAACTACAGTTAACTTTTACATTGTAACAACCTTCCATATACAGCTTGCTGTGATATTTATTTACATCAACTCCTTGAAAAGCTGATCAAGAAATGGAACTTAAATGTTCACACAGGCTCAGTAACGGATCCACTTTATAACACACAAGCACTTTTATGGTGAGGAGTATTAATCCCTTGTCAGCTGCTCATAACTTTATCCAACATGTTAGCAGCTACCTTCACATCTGGAGGCACTTACATTGGCTTGATAGAAACAACAGGATGTTTATCTTTACTAACAGTGTCTAGAACAGCTTTTTCCTTCTATACATTAAAATCTTTCTCCGAACAGAAACATGGCTGGAACATGAAGCTGAGTATGCACCTCTGTTTGGAGCTCCATTTGCATATACAATGTCACATTTATCCAAACAGAAGTCTGTCTCAAATCTAACACTTCAAAGGACAAAAAACTTAAAATGTTTCCACCTCCACAAAACCACATCACATCCCTGTTACAAATATAAGCCTCTTTATGATGTCCAGGAAAATGTCAACTGGTTCCTTAACACCACAGCATAGTGCATCCTCAGTGTGCAGATGGTGAAGTCCTCTACATATGAGGGTAGCTGCAAATGTTGAATAAGCAGTTGTGATGGTCAACAAGGGGTGGGTTTTCAGTTCTGGTGTTGGGCAAGATTCCTCACCATAAATGACTCAATGTTACAAAATTGTTTACAGAATCCAAGACTTTTATAGACTTTTGGAATGAAGGCTTTGATAGAAAACCCAAAGAGAACAAAACTTGGATGACATCAGCATAGATGGGAAGATAAAACTAAAATGTATCTTAAATAAACAGGGAATGGCCTCATTTTAGGAAAGTGGCCAGTGGTGTGTTACTGTAAACAGAAACAAAACTCTCAACACTATTAAAGGTGCCGAACTTCCACATTAGCCAAACAACTCTATTACATGCATTTAATTAGTTAACAATCCATAGGAAAAGTTTTGTTAAGTCATGAACACTGAAGCTGATGGTACAGTTTCTATTGCCCTACAAGGGGTTACATAATTTTTTCACACTTCCGTACCTCTGAAATAAACAGCTCTAGCTTATTTTCTTTTAACTACTTACTATAATACAATCCCTGATATTTACTTATTTCTACAAATCAGTTTAAGATCCACAGTTAAGTCTCAAATGCCATTTGGAATGAAATGGCAACTTCTGCTCTTTATTTACAACAAGAACTATAAACATAAACATTTAATTTTGGTGAACCACTCCTAATATTTCTGAGTTCTATGAGCAAGGTAACTAAGATAATAGTTTATCAGAACAAGCAAAATGCAGAGTGTGTTACTAAATCACAATTCATAGTTACCAGGTGCTTCTGTATTAACCATGACATTTTCTTCACTCTCCAAGTCATTTATAAATTCATTTTTTTCAACTGTAGGAGTACATAATACATCCACTTTTTCAACAGGCCACTGAACTTTATTAGGGTTTACATCTTCAGGATGGTTATACAGGTCCCCTTCCTGCCGAAGGTGGCCAAGACTGCCCTTTAGATCAACTAGGAGCAGTCTTGGAGTAAATGTCACATGACCCTGTGAACATGCCAGACAAAAGGCACATGAATAAGTAGGCCAAAAATAAACTTTCTACACAGCTACCTGCAACCTAATACAATTATAAGACATCATAGGAATAGAATAAAAGCTTGAAATATACTCTGTTGGTTATAAATTATACAGACATCACACTATGATAAAAGGGACTTTCTAGCATACAACTGGATCAAGGAGCTTCTATAATCCACCTGCAGGGTGGATATATAACCTGAGCGGTTGAGATACAAACCAGACATGTGGAAACAACTTCCAAAGGCAACATTTACATTGTCTGATCTAATACACATTATTTTTTAACATTTATCTAATCATTTCTCCCTCAGATGACCATTGTAAAAATTACGAAGTTTGGTAAAATCTGTGGCATTTATTGTTGATAGGTCTGTAAGAAATAAATTCATTTTGAAGCAAAAAATATACTCAGCACATATTTGTTGTGCACTTATATCAGAGACAATCCAAGCCAGAAAAGTCCTGCTTACTGTTGCCAAACAGAGCATAATAAGATCTGAGGTTCTCAAAGCAGTGAATATGAAAATACTTTTCTACAGCTTATCTTAAGTACACAAATGATAAAGTTTAAGTTACCTTGGAAGTGACCCCTTCCCGAAAAAGTACATCATGGTTAATTTCAGATGGGTTATCTGCATTGTACTCAAACCCAGCCTCCTGCAATATAGAAGCAGTGGGAGTAACCAACAGGTCATTCATTGCATGACTACAGATGTTAATTTATATGAATAGAATAAATAATCACAAGATTTTACCACCAACAAGTGACATGAGCAATGTGTTTAGCACATATTATCTGCTGTCAACCTACATCAGTAAACAAACATGTATTTTGGATCAACCTCATTCACATTTCCAAAGACCCATTTTGCTTTAACTCCTGCTAGTGTAAATGTGATAAGCAGTCATTCACCCTTAGCCTTCTTATTTCCTGTATAAAAATGTCATGTGTTTGCAGGACATTCTAAAGTGTTCATATGTGATAACAAAACTAAGCAAATATCAAAAAGGAGCGTACTATACTGGAATTAAGCTATTCAAATAACTTTCTCCCACTATAAAAAGTCTGAATTACAATATAAAGAAGCCAGCACTAAAAGAGTATCTCCTATCTTGCTCCTTCTACTCCACAGAAGCATTTACATCAACCAAAAATTATATTTGTGCTTAGACATGTTTTACATCCTTGGCTTGGGCCTATGAATGATCTGTTTAATGCAAATAAATTCTATTCTATTCTATTCAAAAAGTGATTTTGCTAGAAAAGAAATTGAATGATTCTGACATATATTTCTGGATGTTACAGGTTCACAATGAAAAACTATTCATGGGATTGTAAATTAATTAAAAGAGACAAGGGAATCACTGAACAAAACAGTACTTTGTGAAGACTGGGATAGGCTTCAATATTCATGCAAAAAATATAAATGCATCAGCCTGAACTTAAATTAGCCAGCTTCAAGATACACTTCGGAAATCATTGGGATGCCTTACACCAGAGATGAGGGTTTCAGAATTGTCATCCTGTACTGCCAAGGAGCTCCTAAAACTGATACCATTTACAACAGCAGCAATACATAAATTACAACCATGCAATTGTGCAGACACAGAGAAATGTTGTTAACTAACTGAATTCTTCAGTGTGAGCACAATCCTGAAGTTGACCCTCATCTGATTTTCTTTTCCAATGAGGCTTGATTTCCCTTTTGCTGAGAGGTAAATTAACAGAACAATAGATATTGGACCTCACACAAAAAGAAACCAATACATTAAGATTCACTACATTCCTCTAAAATTGACACATGGTGTGTTGTGATTACAGAGAGAATAAGTGGACCTATTTTCTTTGTGGACAAAATTTTGAAAGGGATGTGGAACAGTGTGTGAATGTAAACTTTTTCGCTGATATGTCAAAAGCACATGCAAAACAACCTAAAGCACTTCCAACATCTTCTAGGCAAGTTAAAGCACTTTCAA